ATTTTCACATGATGATACAATGCATAAAAGTTTGTTTTCACATAACATGTACAAGCTTATTTTCACATGATGATACAATGCATAAAAGTTTGTTTTCACATAACATGTACAAGCTTATTTTCACATGATGATACAATGCATAAAAGTTTGTTTTCACATAACATGTACAAGCTTATTTTCACACAGTGATTACTCATGTAGTCGAACATATTTCCCAATGTTACTCACCTGGAGTAGCCTGTTGGTTTCCATTCCCACCTCCACCTCCTCCACCATTTGAGTTCCCATTTTCTCCATTCGGCTCACCTCCACCTAGCCATGGTGAGATATGGTTCAGAGAAACCTGCTCAATAAAGGAAGTCCCATATTTCCGGAAATACCACCATTCAAAAATCTGAAACCCGAAAAAAAATCATGTTCTAAGAAAACTTACATATCTAAAGATACATGCAAAAATAATTTACAGGTTACATGAAAATCATTATTGCTCTCTGTGCCTACACATCAAATGAATTTATTCAACAAAATAAAAATAGAATTACAGCACCAATCAATACAAAAATACACAAACAGAAACAAAAACTGTCTAACTTTATTTCTTATGCACAGACCCTGAGAAAAAAACAGTCTATAACGGTAATTTTTTTTGTCAAACCAAGACTGGTACAGGCACTGTCAACACAAACATTTTTAACATACTCAAACACAAGATTGCTCCTAGAGTACTCTAAACACAGCTGATCATTTTCAATATTCCCAAACAAGTGGCTGATTTATGTGTTATCAATATAACTGATCTTTTCAAACAAATGACTGATTTCTGTGCTATCAGCACAGCTGATCATTTTTAATACTCCCAAACAAATGACTCATGTATGTGCTATCAATATAACTGATCATTTTTGATAACTTCAAACAAATGACTGATTTGTGTACTATCAACACAGCTTATCATTTTAGTTCTATGAAGATTGCTATGAAACACTTAACTGATCATTTTTATTAGTTAAATACTTAACTAATTAATTATACCAGTGTAACTTCCTTTCTTATCCATATGTAAATAGTTTTATTTTTTACATCTTACATGCAGCTTTTCCTAAACAAATAGTTTATATTACAGTTATCACTTGTTTGACTTTAGTTCTTACCCACATTTTACATATAGCTTTTCCTCAACAAATAGAAAGTCAAACAAGTGATAACTGTAATATAAAAATTCTTACCCACATCTGACATGTAGCTTTTCCTTAACAAATAGTTTATTATACAGTTATCATTTGTTTGACTTTAATTCATACACACGTTTTACATGTAGTGTTTCTCTAACGAGTAGTTTGTTTTGAAAAAACTTTTAAAAGTGGATAATTACCCACAGTTCAGTGTTACCAAAGAATATCCTTAGAGCTGATGAAGATGAACAAAAACATATTAAAATGTTACATATTTTCCAAACTCCAGCATGTTGTAACTTCTCTAAAACTACTTTTGGGCAGAGTGATAGTACATGTAACTAACTAATATCTATCATACATTACCAATGGCTTAAAAATATTGTTTTGACTTATGAAAAATAATTCCCTAAAAAAACATTAAAATCAGTTTATTATACAACACGATTATACTGCAACTATACTTGAAAAATTATATTTCAATATTTTAAAGCTACTTTTTCTCACAACTGCAATGAATTTAAAAAAATATTTGGGAATATTCTTCAGAAAAAAAAGCAGAGAAAGCTTACCAGAATAAGGCCTGATATCAATGACGATGTTCCAGTGAGAGCCACATAAAACTTAGGTGTAAGTGTATTCAGAAACATGGAAGCTAAAAGCATAAAAATAATCAATGTAAAGTTTCTTAAATAAATATTTGTTATAGTATTACAAAGAGAGGTAATGTACAAGTAAAATTTACAAAAAAGCATATTTAGATGATTGTTATATGGTGCATCTTATTAAAATCAAATAAGTTTATAAGAGTAGTCCTAGAATTTATGTGAATGTTAATAATTTGGACTTTGCATAATTTGTAGAAACAAGATTACATTAGAAATATGAGAATTAGTGAAGCACTGGGTTCAGTTTCAGTTAGGAGGATACAAGTCCAAGTGAAGTATTCAGATCAGTGTTAGTTATTGTATACATTCAGTTACTCGATTGAATATCTGTAGTAACATTAGTGGTGAACTTAGGCCTACAACTGTGTACATGTCATACTGATAGTAGCCTGTAGCAAACATTAAGGAAAAATTAAAATAATTTTATATCATTATTTGGTCTGAACTTCATATTATTTTCACCAGATAATTTAAATGAATGTACCCAATGAAAGAACATGTTACAAAAATACTTTTTAATTGAAAATTTGAACAAGACTTAAGCTTTTTTTTTATATTTTGATCAGAAAGTAAGTTATGATAACTTTTTTATTTTCTGAGATTAAACAAATAATTAATAAATAATGCAGCTAAACACCTTCTTCCATCATACATTTAAAACTGGTGTGTTATTGATTCATCATAGAATGTAGCTCATGTAGCGCCATCTGTAGATTACTTTAAGAAAGTATCAACCATACATGTACACATACAACTTTAAATTTCTTCTGGAAAAACATTTTTATAGAAGTTATAATATGATCCCAATACAATGCACTGTAACTAATTTATTCTGCAAATTTGGTCAAGTTCTTGATGTAATCTCTGAAAATATCATTTTCTATTTCTTAGCTGTTTTACTATTTATTTTACTAAAAAAACAGTGAATATCCTCTCTAGCCAATTTTGAAAACTTGAAATTAAATAAACTTACTTTTTGTATATACTCAAATTGTTCATATATCAGCAAAAGGTAAAATGAGCTATGCTTTCACAAATATTTCAGTAACCAAATTTTCTTAGTTTAAAAATAAAATTATTTTGGCAATTTGCTATTAATCTATTTTTTGCACTTATCCCTGTAAAGCTCAAATTTTGGCTAATGGATCAGTCCTACACATCTTTAACATAAATTACTTGTGCTGCAAATAAAATATGAACCTTTAGTTAACTAGAAAGTTTCTACATCTAAAAATATTTTTTATAGCCATTATTGTACTAGTACTCAATTGACAGTTTATAGGTCATGGCCACATTCCAAAGCCCAGCTTTTTGGTCAGCAACACCTGTTTATTACAAATTGTTAGAGAACAGTTTAATATAGAGACTTTGTTTTTATTCATTTTAAATATTTAATAAAGTTAGCAAATGACAAAGTTCCAATTATTTCCCAAAGTGGCAGTTTTATTTTTAGTAAACAGAACTGTATACCAATGCCACCAATACCCCCTCTCTAGGTTGTGAATTTAATAAAATTATAGGAGGACCAATGGATTAGTAATATATAAGTTCATTAAATGAAAAGAACATTATCATTTTCCTAATCTGAAAATGTATTTCCAAACATACTTAGCTCTGCCAACATTTATAGCTATTTCTCGATCTTCATCTTTGCCATTTAAACATCGTGTTTCCTTGCTCCAGTCTTTATACCCCCACTTGATGGCCCTCGGCAATATCTAATTTGCAAAACTTTACACCGGCCCTCACATGCCCTCTATGTAGGTACTGTATATAAGCATTATATGTTGACAAAGTAATCACTTTTTTGAGCCATATCACATTCTGGTTTCTAACACCAGCTCTTAGTGGTGGAGGGGCTGGTGAGGGCACAGTTCATACAGAAAGCATCTGCATAGCATTTCCCAAGCAGGGAAAACTACATCCAGAACAGGTATGCTCTACACCCAGAACTACAGAAAAGTGAAAAGGGTGGAATATTACACAAGTAAGTATGACGGGCCAGTCTCAACCACAGAGCCGAGGTTCCACGACTCGGTGCTGGATTTAATGGGTCATGGTACCAATGTCCCCCGTTGGTGGCAAGGGCAGTTGGACAACAAATATATATACATATCTTTGTGATAGAATCCCCCACCAGCAGCCACAGAATAATGTATTTCGAACAACCAGATTTATGAAAGAAAACCAACACCCAAGTTGATAATACTTCTGATCAACCTGAAGAAGTCCAAAAGATCTCAAGCTTGGATTAATGGGATCAAATATGCCATATTCCACACTGGTCCAGAACTCATCCGGTCTGAATTTACAAACACTAATTTTCACTCCCCAACCAAGTGGTCAAAGAGAATTCCACTTACAAATAGAATTATGGAAAGGACGTGGAACACTGTTCCACCAAGGGCCTAAGATGGGACTGCATTGCATTCAAATTTACAAGGAGATAGTGAACCCCCTGTATGAACAACCTTAGACCTAACAATGTTCATAAGAGGGTACAAGCATACCACCACCGGATAGCTAAGTGTCAAATTTGGACCGGTTTTACAAGTAGGTTCCAGCCTAGGTTGGTCCTGCTCCTACTTGCATTTGGGAAAAAATTCCAGGGACCCAGGTAGGAGGGTCCCCAACTTCGCCCTCTCCTCCAAGTGTGGAGAAAACTCAACACTCCGAAGGAAAATCCTCTGTCCACCATCCCAGTGACTGGGAACTGGGTGTGGTAAGGACTCTCTAGCTCCACTAGTAGTAGTAGGGGGGACATGTGTGTGTTAGGGAGTCCAGAGGAACAGGATCCCACTAACTAAAAAGCTGGTGCATAGGGCCCCTGAAAAGTTTCGTACAAGCTGCAGAACATCTAAGTGCTCTGACTGGACACAAAAGATCTGGGTATGATAGATTGTAAAGATGAGAAATGCCTGGGAAAAGAATAAGAAAAAAGAGTTTATTCCCTTCTCTGGCAGCAAGTGTGTTCAGCTGGAAGGATCTGTCTGGATAGAGCAAAAAATAGGTGGAAGGATAGAGAGTCTGCTGAACAGGGATGGCAAATAAATCAGAATAGCTGCATCTGGAACCTAATAACAATAGAAATATACCTCAAGGGAAAGGTGATACAAAGAATAGGAGGCCATAGGTTTGAAGGGATAAAGTGATAACGCATGAAAAAACAACTCTAAAGCCCCAATTTGTCAACTGAAATGGTTGTTTGGGATGAAGAATATGAAAGGATCATAAAACCAGATAGCAGATGAGTCAAAAATCTTCGTATACATAGAAAAGCGAAAGGGAGCAGCGAAGGATGCTGTATATAATGCAAGGTAGAAGCCAAACCTTTCAAAAATCCATGTCAAAAAACTTGAAACTATAGAGACTGTTGGATGAAGTGGGTTGAAGGCGCATCAAAGACGTCACTGATAATATGTAGTCCATTTCCATCGAAAGATTGCCATAATAGGTTGATGGAGGATATAGTCAAATAAACGGAAACTGTAGAATTTAAATCCCTATGGTCGGGCAAAGGACTACATAACTTCCATGCATGAAGCTGGAGTCGTTAAACGTCCAGGTGCTGAATGTTGGACTGAGGTTGTCTCAAGTTAGATGAATGAAGAGGTAGTGGTAAACATTCCTGGAACAACTGAAGAAGAGGACACCATGGCTGAGCAGGCCAAAAAAAGGTGCTAACAAAAGAACCCAACATGGGGTGAAATTAATCATAGACAAGAGTCTAGGGTACGAGATTAATAGAAGGAAAGACATACAAATGGAATCCTGTCCAGTCTTGACTGAAAGCATCTATCGCCAGAGCTTGTAGATGTGGAATTGGAGACCAGAACTGTAGGCTAGCATTCCAATGAGTTGTAAAGGTGTCTATCACTGGAGAGCCAAACTGAGAACAAATCCATTGAAAGACCACCTGATGGAACATACATGCTGGTGGAAGAATCTTATGGGGTCAATAAAGGTAATCTGCTTTATCAAAATCATATCAGGTCAAAAGATAAATGTCATTGGAATGAGCTAAAAAAGAAGATTCAAAGCCCAAAAACCAAGACCTCAAGAATGAGAACTCCCCTGACAAGAAAGATATGAAACCACTGTGGAGTAGTCAGAATGAATCATGAACATTTTGTCATGCAAGAGAGGAAGACTTAGAATCATCGCTAGATGTACTGCAAGAAGTTTGAGAATGTTGATTAGCAGGGTAGATTCGTAGTCGGTCCAAGTACCCTGGAATGCCTACCCCACAAGAAAGGCACCCCATCCATGAAGAGATGGATTTCCACACAACCCTGATAATCATGTTGTTCCTGTCTAGCCACTGCTTGAGATCTCTAAATTGTTCGAGCAAAGAGACTGTGTGATCCAAAGGATCGGTATGCATGCACCACTGGCCATGAAATGACACTGAAGGGATCTCATATGGGCCTGATCCAATGTTATGAGGGATTCTAGGGAAACCCAAACCCCCAAAACAGACAGAACCATCCATGCAGTGGGAGAAGGTTACATAAGCAAATGCCTGACAATCCCTTCCCTAGCATGAAGTCTGAGGGGAGAAGGTTGAGCTTGACTCATAGAGCATTGAAAAACACCCCATAATGGACTATGTATGGAGTTAGTGAGAGAATGTATTTTTCCAACTTGATATGAAGTCTGCCCTTCTGGCTTCGGAAAGGAGAATCTGTGGATGTAGTGTGGCAATGTGACAGGTTGGTGCCAAAAGAAGTCAATCTTCCAAATAGCGATGTGTTCACAGACCCAGAAAATGAAGCAAGTCCAAACGGGAGAGCTTTGAACTGCTACATCTGGTCCTCGTGCAAAAAAATGTCGAAATTGACGAGAAATCTCTGCTATGGGGATGTGAAGGTAGGCATCTGTAACATCAAATTTGGTCATCCAAAGATCTGGTGTGAAGTGCCATTGAAGTTGCAATATCAGGGGAAGGAAGAAGAACTAAGTAATCCCCCCCCCCAAGATCTATCTGACAACAAGGCATAGTAGACTCAAAACCAAGGGGTTAATCCACAAAGCTTCACAAACTTGCATAACAGACTGCAGAAAAGAGGCAGAAGGTGGTTGATCAGATGAGCCCTTAGTAGAGGAAGCTCTAGTGAAAGAAGCAGAAAAGTGTTTAAATTCTCCCCAGTATATTCAGGTTCATGATGAAAAGCCAACTCTGAACCCCTGGGCTACATGAAGGACTCCAACTCATCCTGAATCAGCCTCCACCGAGAGTGGACCCTCCTTCCGACCACCGACTAACACCAGACAAAAAAAGGAGGAATGGACGAGGTCTGGTTAATCCCTATGTCAGAAACCATAACCTGGGAATTCATACCCACATTTTTTAATTTGAACCACAAGAAAAAACAAAATATCAGCAACAGAAAAAGAAAATACTACTGTCAAAATGCTTCAAAAGAAGATGTTAACCACAAAACATAACTTCTAGAGCTAGTGCTTTGTCGAGAAAAAGTGATTATATTGTCAACATACAGTACCCGCATAGAGGGCGTGTGATGGCCGGTGTAAAGTTTTGCAAATTAGATATTGCTGAGGGCAGTTTAGTGGGGTATATAGCCTGGAGCAAGTGAACACGATGTTTAGATGACAAAGATGAAGATCGAGAAATAGCTGTAAGTGTCAGTGGAGGTATGTAGGTTTTAGAATTTCATAATTCTAATAAAATAATAGGAGGATCAGTGGATTAGTAATATATAAGTAAGAAAAGAAGCTAAGTATAATGGGAGATCGAGTGAGACACCACAAGAGTGAGATGTGAGAATAAAACAGGATATACTTACATTAAGTATAAAGTGAGATTGAGTGTGCCACCACAGAGATGTAAGAATAAAACATGATATACACATAACAATTGCCCAGAATACACTGAAGGGGATACATATAGATATGTCCAAGAGAAACAAAGGCCCGAAGAGGAAAGAGAGTCCCCAAAAGAGACAAATCCTCTTTCACAGCAAATTAAGAAAACATGATAGTCCATGTCTCAAAGATATAAAGGAGTAGGATGAGCCTGTCCTACATACAAATTGAGAAAGACTCCCAAAGAAATGAGATATGGGGTGGGGGTCAAGGCTGAATGGAAGAGTCAAACCAGTAACCTCAAACGATACAACTCCCACGTTGGATGGGGCAAGTAGACAGTAAATCTCCATAGTGTAACAGTAGGAATATAATTTCTGAGTAGAATCCCAATAGATCCAATTGAAACCATAGTGTAACAGTAGGAATGTAACCTCTGATCAGAATCCCAACAGATCCAATTGAAACCATACAAATCTCCATAGACTAGTGTAACAGTAGGAATGTAACCTCTGAGCAGAATCGCAACAGATCCAATTGAAACCATACAAATCTCCAGATACTAGTTAACAGTATGAATATAACCTCTGAGCAGAATCCCAACAGATCCAATTGAAACCATACAAATCTCCAGAGACTAGTTAACAGTAGGAATATAACCTATGAGCAGAATCCCAACAGATCAAATTGAAACCATACAAATCTCCACAGACTAGTGTAACAGTAGGAATATAACCTCTGAGCAGAATCCCAACAAATCCAATCGAAACCATATGCGGCATAGTCTACTTCAAAGGGAAAGGCTGTGAATCTAATTTTCGACACCTGTGAACAAATCAATGAAAGCAAAAGGCAAGCAGACAAATTGTAATCTGGAGGAAGTGTCCAAGATCTCAATCCAATTCATCCACATCCCAACAGAGTACTCACCACAAAATGAGAAAACTATTCATCTTAATCCAAGGAAAGACCAATGTTGGTTCAAACTGAACAGATCATGAAAGGATGCTAATTTCCTGTCTATGAGGCAAAGACAAAAAGATTGGGGTAAAACACCAGAGGGAGGTTAAGGAACTGTTCCATGGTATTTTAATTAGGTGAGAAGAGGACTGGAAGAAGAGGGAAAAAAACCCTGAGAATGAACCTGAGTGAGCCAGTAGTATGCTGTAAAGAAAGTTCACAGGTGTAAAAAAGTGGGAGAGCTTGGTTCCCACCAGACCAAAGGCAAGGGGCAGCTCCAGAAACGTTGTTTCTAAGACCCGCAACAGCCAGCTATTATAGGTAAGGTGGAAAACATGTGTGCAATATAGTCCCCAGTAAAACGGACAGGGTCACGATGTAAAACTTTTAAATGAAGGTGAAGTGTGCATAAATAGCCTTTGTTCCAATACTAGTGCTCAAGAGGCTTACTGCTTATGGAAGATGCATTGGCCTCCTAATAGTAAAGGGCTATAGTCTAATTCTTTTTAAATCATGGGTTGGCAGAGTATACCTAAATATGTGTAGGGGTGGGAGTTTTATTCAGTCTTGTGGCATGAACAAAAATCTACACAGCAGTGGTGTAAAGTAATAGCTTTTTGTTGTACATGGAGGTGAGTAAATGTTTCTGAATGCAATATATACCAAAAAAGAAATAACATCCTGACATGCTACATATAGTTTATACCAACACAGAAATTCTTAACATCCTGACCAGCTACAAAATACAATATATATCAATACAGAACTTGTTAATGTCTTGACCCACTAGAAATACAATATATACTAACACAGACTTCTTAAAATCCTGTCCTGCTACTTAGCACATTACATATCAACATAGAGTTCTTAATATCAGACAATACTGACCTGCTACAAAATACAATAAACATACAAACTTCATACCATCCTCATCTGCTATGAAATAGAAAACAGAATTCTAAAAGTTATCTTTTTAACTAAAAAAAAAAATTAGTTTTGCTAATTAAAACACGTTTTTCCTCCTGTAAATTAAGAGTTATAGCTGTAATGCTGAAAGAAGTATATGCTTATAATTTATCAGCCATATACGTGTTATTTAATACTTTGACCCACTTACTACTTATTCTTCACATGATGTTTATATAATCACACATATTAACCTAAACTAACAATAAACTCCATTAATTAAAAGGTACACATAGTATTAAATAAATTAGGAAATTAGTTTTCTTAATAATTATTACAATAATAGCACAATTTTTAGTTTCAAGATCTTAAATATTCACTTCCTCAACTTATCAGGCACTATAAAAAGTTCACAATTATAACTTAAAAGCATTTTTCTTAACTAAACACCACACATTTGTGTTAAGACACATTTAATCAAACAAACACATTACCTTTAACATTAATCTGCATAAAACAAACACGAGAAAAATTACACCATATGGTACAAAATGTTCTACTGGTGATAGTACCAGAAACTCGATTGGTTTTTACAAAAAAAAAAAAATATCCATTAATAAATACACAGGTGGCCGCCAGCTAACACTAACAGTAATCAATAAGCCCATTTATAAAATTGTAAGTATAGCAATAACAGTTTTCTCATATATCTCGTATGACTATAGCTGCAAGTTAGTCTATATTGATGCCGTAGTGAAAAAATACGATAGAATCATACGTTAGTAAATAGGCCTAAGTTAGAGTTAATTAATATCTCACTTTTTATAACTTGGTATTAAACTCGTCTGTAAAAACAAACTAATTAACTTTGTGAAGATTTCCTGAAACTTATTCTATCGTAAATTGAAACTCATATTATCAGTGTCACTGACATTTCATCAAACAAATCACTTGTAGTAGTACTACTTATGTTTTCGTTTGCATATCTGTCAATCAAATATTAACCATCGCGTTGATTGAACATCTAAAATAACCATTGAAAAAGGTATTTACTAATAAGTTCTTACCCATTGTAATATTTTCGCTTATTCTTAGCGGTCCCCGCAGTGCGTAGATGAGAAAAATAACCAAGATAAACCACAAAATCCACAAATAAGTCCACGACCAAGAAATCCAACTTTTGATTGTTGACATGTAACCCATAGACTCACCCGCCATAATAATTCCAGATTTTAGCACCATCTAGTGTCATAATTTAGAAGCGCCATCTAGAGGAGAAATGTCAAATTTATGTTACATTTTATATTCTAACATACGAAACTGCGAAATATCATGAACTTGCTACATTTTTGCTCGTTTGCTAAACTGTAATGCTGAAGAAATTAAAGTAATGAATATATATTCTACAAGCTAGTTATTAAGTTATAAAACATTTATTATCACGGTGACCTATTCTGAACAAATGGCAATTTCAAAGGTAGAATATGAGTGGGCCTTATTATTTTGTCTTGGGCTTAAGTTTGCAGTTCTTATCATAACTTAATTCTATATAAATAAAACTATAAACTAAATATTAGACTGATGAATTCGTCTAACTGCTATATTGTCTCTGCTCGAGTAGCCTTAAAATCATACTCTTACAATATACCGCAATACTTCAATATACGAAGTACATGCGTTCCTGGAGCTTCTTTCGTACATTATAACTTCGGAAATCGAATAACATATAACATAATTATATGGGGATGTGTTCCCAGCCTTCGTAACTTACCATTTAATACTATAAACAGTTCATAACTTACCATTCATGTTGTATACAAAAATAATTTATTTGAATATAATATTATATGGTATTTTACAGTGTTAAAATTAAAAACTGACATAAGTAAAAGAAACATAGTCTACTGTCACCAAGCTTCGTTCACGACTTCGGTGGGAGAAGGAATGTGGAGTTAGTTGTGGGGAGGGCTGACAAGATCCATCGATGACGACTATCCAGGTTGAGCTGTCCTTCCTCCATTGGTGAAGAGAAACATTGTTTTTAGAAGAAAGAATGAAGTGTGAACTGTTTTTGCCTTCTTCCACCTCACAGACATCTATTGTACAAAATGCTGCCCAACACACAAAACCTGACAACCGAGACGAATGTTAACAAACAATATATGACCATCTCGATGCACAACGCTTAAGAATCCATATCTTATTATAATTTTATTCTTATTTATATTGTACTGTAGATAAGTAAATATAATACTTATTTATTCATTTCAGTGTATTAATTTTTTATTTTACTTTATTTTTAGTTTTCTGTGTAAAATAATGGTAAAAACAAAGTTCGTTATACCGAAACTTCGTTTATCGAATATATGCATATCGAGGTATTACTGTACTAAAGTCTGATCATATTTACAAAGTACTGAAATAAATTTGATTACGAGAAACCCACTTTGAAATATAGTTGGAAGACGGCTTGAACGGGTAAAGAAGAAAACTTTGTTGTAAGTTTCAAATTTCGACAAGTTTTCTCCATAATAAATACAATTGCCTGTAATAGTTTTCTTCATTGGCTATTCAAGCCGCCTTAAAACTATATAGGTAGTTTTTTCCTCCGGTATAAACTACCTATGATAGTTGTAATCTCTTTCGAATCGGCTTGTATTTTATTTATATTATCAATCACGTGTTTTTGGTATGAGAAACGGTAAAAACGGAGTTGTTTTCTATTAACTTATGAAGCATGTATTTATGTTATTATAAACAGCTAACAGATTAAAACAAAACGTTGCTACAACCAGGGTCGAACAAGAAACAATTTATTAAACTTTAACAACCACAAAAATCCAAAATAAAACTTTCAGACAACTGGAATACAATTTTATCATTTACAAAAAACAAAAAAAATGCTTGGCCAGGACTTCATAATAAAGTTAATAAACGATACAACATAAATATTAATGTTATTATTTTCAATAAATAAAGGAATTAGGATAAAGATCAACACCAAAAAAAAAACATGATATTCCTAAATTAAATCACTTTAAGTACATTATCGATGAATAATTCATTCTCATTATATCTCATAAACTAACTCGGTTATTTTTTTCTTAGTTGCGAGTTATGGGGCGCCATCAGTAGATGATATGCCCCCAAATTCCGTGATCTGATTTTAGTTGACGGCAGTTGGTATGTTTGGTGTGACAGAGATTCGAACCCGCGACGCTCAGATTACGAGTCGAGCGCCCTAACCACCTGGCCAAGCCGGGCACTCTAATTCTCTCGGTTAAGACCAAGGGAGGGTTTTTATTCTGTATTTAGATAACAAGGTTACATCTCATGTAAATAGCTAATTTACATAATCTTTCCCAACATTAATATCTGTACATTACCGCTAGGGGAAGCTTGAGGTCACTTTCATAATATAAATATACTCAAATTCAACGTGCTCTAACTGGAAGGTGAGTTAGCGCTATAAAATAACTGAACATTCAAAGTTGAACTAAGCGATAGAAGGACTCATAAATATATGGTAAATAAAACCATAACAAAATAAAATTAGAATTCGCTATCTCGCAGTGTTATTTTCTTCTTAAATGACTTATAAGAAGAAGTTGTCAAATAATATATTTTCAAAAACCTTTAAAAAAAATCACCATTTTTCGCTAGATTTGCCTCACAAGTGGCAAGGTTTGAATAGAATTGTAACGCAGTTCAAACTGTCATATGTTACAATACCAATGATATTAGGGGAGGAAGAGGTCTCAGAGTACCTGACCCTCCTAGGTCACAAAGACCTAAATTCCGATCAGGAGATCAGGCAATGATATTATGTTATTAAACAATAATGCAATAGAAATCAATAATAGCTAAGTATGGAAAAAAAATACACAAACACTATACACCTATATATTTATTTGTGTTAATTTTTGTATAAAGAGAGCTTCTTTAATTTTTCTACGATTTACATTATTTTCTCTGTCGTCCCCCGATGGGACAGCGGCAGGTCTAAGGATTTATAGCGCTAAAATCAGGAGTTCGATTTTTCTCAGTGTACACAGCAGGTAGCCCTGAGTGGTTTTGCTATGAGAAAACACACACATTTTCTTTTTCAACGGTTTCAACATTTCAAAAAATCAACAGAGTAGTTATGCCTCACAATCTTGTTGAAAGTTGTCAGTTAGTTTCTCTGATGTCAGAACTATCTTAGTCTTTACAATTCAACTTGATACACTGACTCTGATGTGTTATTGTCAACAGATTTTCTTCGCAAAAGCAGGCCTAATTTTTCGGCTGTTAAGAAAACAAAATTATACTGAAATCCACATTAGAATCATTAACAGCTGTTTATACTAGGTACGCCTAGCGAAATGTAGTGATCTTAAAACAGAAAATTTTAAACATACTTACTTGATTATTCGTAAATACCTAAATAATAATGTGTCATTTTGTATTTAACTTATCCATAATGTATTGTATTATGAACATACACCTGTGTCATATTCTATTTAACCTACCAGTCACTTGTCTTTAATATTGTAAACCGTTAATAAATGCCTAAATTTTTAATTTATATTATTAAGTTTGGCTTGGTTATTAAAAATCATTAACAAATGCCTTATATTAAGTTATATTATTAACCTTGGCTTGGTTATTATAAACTGTTAAGAAATCCTTATTTTTAAGTTACATTATTAAACTTGTAAGTGTAACCACTTTATTTGTTAACTTATTAACCTTGTCTTTGTTAATAAACCGTTTTCTCATATATATATATATATATATATATATA